GACTGACCGCGGCGATGCAATGAAAAGAATTTCGGGAGCATTCACACGAAAGATTTGAGAAATTCTGCTCCTGACCGAGCTGCAACAGACCTGGCCTTGCGACTGTTGTTCTTCTGCACACAGCGCTTGAGAAGCAATTGTACACAGTGACACCCACAAAAGGCGTCAAGGTGCTTCCTGACCGCCCCCTCATGGTCTGTTCCACCCGCAACTAGGGAGCCAACTTCCAGACATACTGCTGCAAGAGCCTTCTTGAAAATGTCCGCGCGTGAGCCCACATCTTTCCGGCTCAGCTCGGCAGTGTCAACGCAGACCTCCTTGGACTCCCATTCTTTCGAGATCCAGCTGAGAAAGGCTGCCGAGAAATGTCTCGGGAGATTTGCCTTTGTCTTCCAGTCATCTACTGCGAGGGCGATGCGGCAGCCATCGTTCACGGAGTCAAGAACAAGCTGCTTGACTTCTGACTTGACCTCCTCCACCTGCTCCGAGACATGCTTACTGAAGGATTCGTCTGACGGCAAGCCTTGCAAGCAGGGGATGCATTTCGCACACTCTACCTCCTTGGACGAAGTACGCCAATGAGGACCATGTTTGTGAACCAATCACGCAAAAAGCTCCTTGTCAACCCGCACACCGCCGCCTGGCCGCTTGAACGGCGCGATTCCTGCGCCTATGAGCCTAGCCCTGCAAGCCTGGCTTGCCAGGCTGGGGTTTCCTGCCACAGAGCTTAGGGTTTGGGGTTGAAAGACCTTAACGACGCACGCGACTGCGGACAAATCAAACCTGTTTGTTTTCCCACTTGGAAGGAGAGCCCGGATCACAAAATCCACAGTGTTTGATTTTTTGCGCTAATTTGATGGATACGAGCTCTTTGCCCCGATTAGGTAAAGCCCAGAAAACCGAGCTCAGAAAACCACACCTGCTCATGCGACAAAAATGAACAGCGTTTGGCTGTTCTACTTGGAAAAAGAGCTCGAACCCAACGTGCTTGTTTTTCCATTTGCAAACAAAGCCCGGATAACAAAATCCACTGTGTTTGATTTTTCGCGCTAACTGATAGGCATTGTGATAGAAAGTGGAAGGGGGTGGGGGGGGGGGGTCCCATGACGAAGTTGGGACAGTGTCCTTCAATTCTGCTGCCAACTGCTTTGTTGAGGGCTTTGCACCTGGCGCACGCTCACGCTGCTGCTGGCACCAAAGCTCGTAGGCGCCACCAACAGGCTTCTTCACAGCTACGCGTACGGCGAAGCTGCTGAAGTTCAGATTGCCAGAGTTTGCAGTGTAGGGCTTCGGGTTTTCCAGGGTTTTGCAAGCAGACACTCGGGAAATTCCAGAGTTAACTGGGCAGGAGGCCCCTGCAAGTCGCCTCCTCCCACTACGAAAACCCAAAGAAACAGCAGGAGGGGGCTAGCACAAGTCTCTGCCGTCACGGCAGGCCGAGAATTTGCAACGAACACACTTGTGACTCTCGAAACTCCAAAAGCCCCTATTCGGACAAAATCCACATGAAAGGATGATCAATTCGGACTTTTCAGGCTAGAGCGGGTCCGGGTCCGGGTCGGGGTCCGGGTCCGGGTCCGGATCCGGGTCCGGGGGTACGGATGAAAAGGCGTGAAAAAAGCGATATTATGTGGAGTTGGGGTTTATGGTTCTTGGGCTTAGGGGTTTAGCCCACTTTCTACTTGTTTTTGGACGTGGACTAGCAGTGCCGGGCTTCTTTGCTAAAACACAAACCCGACTTTCCTACACTACAGCGGCTTAGGAGCCCAAAGGGAAACCTTGAAACCAAACCCTACAGTCCGAACTTTCAAGTGGCATCTGATGCAAAGGCTATCTCTGTCGATTGGAAATCGGTAGTAATCCAGGTTCAAACCGAACCGGTGCGAACCGTGAACCGAGCCACCCTGAACCTCCGGGACCTCTGCTCAACCTACCTCTGGAGTAGACCCAGAAAAAAAAGTATATACTTTTTAGGTAGAAGTAGCTATAATGGGAACCCGAAACCAAAAAAAGTATTAAAGTATAGTACTCCAAAGCCCAGTCAAACACCGAACCGCCGAACCGAACCGTGGAACAGAAACCGTGACCGAACCCAACCGAACCGTTCGTTTGCTGACTCAGCGTCTTGGAGCCTTGATAACGGTCGGGGTTTGAGGAATTATGGGGCTTGGGATTCAATTTGGGGGGGTTGGGATTCAATTTTGCCGCTTCAGGAACATACAGGCAATTGACAGCTCAAGGCAGGTGAGTGGAGGAAGAAAAGAAGTGTCCTGATGCTCCAGACGCTCACACAAGATCTTGAAACTCACCCTCACGCATCCGAACGCATATTGTTTGCATATTGTTTGCCCTGGCTCCCGGCAAGAGAAACCATGTCCTTATCTAGACTCAGGAGTAACCTTGAAATGAAAAGGGTGCCCTTTTTGGACTAAAGGCGCTTAGTTATAAGGAAACCTAATCCCAAAACAAAAAGAGAATGAGGGCCTACTCTGGGTCCTGGTTATGCGTCCTTTAGTCCTCAGGTCCCAGGTACAGGCGTGGTGGCTGCTAACTTTGGAAACAAGACCCCTTGCAAAAAGGACTTGCAAAACACAACTCACATGCTAGAAAGACCCTTATGTGAGCCGTAGGTTGAGTTGAGGTGCAGGGTTTCGCACCCCATCCTCTTCCTTGCTGAGAACAGGAAGGGCGACGCTTGAGCGAGGACTTCAGCACGCGCCGCCGGCAGGTGCGGTGCCCGACATGTTGCAATGACATGGTTACCTACCTAGGTCCAGAAGAACCCCATACCCTCTCAACCCTCAAGCCAAAACCCTAAATCCGCTATATACACCCTAACCCGTCTCAAGCCTAAAACCCCTGAACCGTAGAGGATCTGCGAAAAACCCAAGACTGGGGGTTTGAGGTTTAGGGTTTAGGGTTCGGGGCGACTGCCCTGGAGACCCAAACGCCCTGAAACTGGCAGTGGTTATTTTGGTAAAGCCATCAGCACGAGGCCTAGAAGTGCTCCACGCCTACAGCCCAACCCCAAAAACCTGCACCGAAACACCGTGGGGGTTTTGGAGTTGGCATGCGTGGGTAGGCTTTGTGGGTTTTCCGGGTTGCAGGCTTAGGGCTTCGGGCATCTTATGCACGATACCTGCTTTGGGGAATAAAGACTGCACGAAATACCTACTTTGTGAGGTGTGCTGTTCCGAGGTATAGTCTGCGACACATGCCCACATTCGTCGTGCATGGCGCTCCCTGGCGGCAGCCGCGAGCCGCGCGCCACGAGAAGTCCTAAAATGAACTATTTGGCACAAAACAGGACGTACCGAAATCCTACAAGTGCTTTATCGTGTACTTCCGCATGCCTTTTATGGACCAAAAGCGTTACAAGCGGGTCCCCCGTGGATGGTTTGCTGCTCGGGCAGTCTCAATGTTCAAACCTCGCTTCTCAAAGCTGAAGCCCTAAACCCTAAACCCTAAAACCCTAAACCCTAAACCCTAAAGCCCTAAACCCTAAACCCGAATCCCTAAACCCTAAACCCTAAACCCTAAGACCTCAACTCAAAACCCTTCAGCCCCCCAACGCTCGGCATCCTGGAGCCTTATAAGCCCGGGGCCTTTTGAGCCCCAAATCACCTCACAGCCTTCTCATGCTTGGCCTGATGCTGGGTGTTTAGGGTTTAGGGTTTAGGGTTTAGGGTTTAGGGCTTAGAGTTTAGGGTTTGGGTTTAGGGTTTAGGGTTTAGGGTTTAGGGTTTAGGGTTTAGGGTTTAGGGTTTAGGGTTTAGGGTTTAGGGTTTAGGGTTTAGGGTTTAGGGTTTAGGGTTCCGGGTTCAGGGTTGAGGGTGAAAGGATTTAGGGCTACAGGGTTTAAGTTTACTGTTAACTTGGCAAGCACATGAGCAATGCACCCAGACTAACACTTTGGATGGAGGGATAGCTCCTCTGACTCGTCTGCGTGCACGTTTGGAGCTTCAAGAATGCTGTCTCTGCCTAGTAAGCGTTCGTGCCTGCTCAATTAGAGAGGCTACCCTAGACAGTTTGGTTTGTAATCAGACAGGGATGATGTTTGGGGATGATCTTTTGTGAATGAGTTGTGCTCCTGTATTGCACTCTTCTTCTGCTTCGCGCTCAGCGAATTCTCGGATCGCAGGATTCCCTCGCTACGCCATCAGGGTCAATCAATTTGAACTTCTACTGGCAACAATCCCTAAACACTAAACCCTAAACCCTAAACCCTACACCCTACACCCCTAAACCCTAAACCCTAAAACCTAAACCCTAAACCCTAAACCCCAACTTCAAAAACCTGAACCTTGAAAAAACCTTTACTAGCTGGCAACGAAGCCGACGATACTTGGGCCGACTGCAGGCGGTCGGTTTCTCACAAAGAAGCTAGATTAAGGCGTAAAAGGAGGGGCCCCTGGTAGGAACCCTTAATTCCTCTATAACCCCTATATATACCTGTTTAGGGCTTAGGCTCTATGAAGGGGTATAAGGAGGGACCCCTAGAAGGGACCCTGAATCTTATTCCCCTATATAACCCCTATATATATATATATATATATATATATATATGTTCCTTAAATAGTCCCTACATACCTAACTCCTAAAGAACCTCGAAGGTCCCTTGTAAGGATCTCTCCTTTAGTCGAAGGGGGGTTTAGGGTTTAGGGTTTAGGGTTTAGGGTTTAGGGTTTAGGGTGTAACCCTAAACCCGACAGAGGGTTCAGAGCCCACCCCCTGCAGCCTGGGACCTTAAGCCTAAACCCGAAAAGTCTGAGCCCTAAGCCCTGAAGTGCAGAGACTTTGATGCCCTATACACGCCGATTCGGCCATAAGTCGAAACCCCAAACCCTAAACCCCAATTACTAAACCCTAAACCCTAAACCCCGAACCCCAATTACTAAACCCTAAACCCTAAACCCCAAACTCCAAACCCCAAACCCTAAACCCTAAACCCTAAGCTACCTGTGGAGCTCCGGATCTGGGCTTCCTTCCGGCCGCCAGCATTATACGATCTTGGCTTCCACAATCTCACTGAGCTCCGGGAAGGCCTTGTCCAAGTACCTAAGGCGGGTTTAGGGTCTAGGGTTTAGGGTTTAGGGTTTCGGGTTTAGGGTTTAGGGTTTAGGGTCCAGGGTCCAGGGTCCAGGGTCTAGGGTCTAGGGTTTAGGGTTTAGGGTTTAGGGTTTAGGGTTTAGGGTCCAGGGTCCAGGGTTTAGGGTTTAGGGTTTAGGGTTTAGGGTTTAGGGTTTAGGGTTTAGGGTTTAGGGCTTCGAGGCAAGCTGCGCATTTCCCTGCTCCTTCAGTGTTGGCTGATCGGGTCCTCGCGGCGACATGAGGGTTTAGGGTTTAGGGTTTAGGGTTTAGGGTTTAGGGTTTAAGGTTTAGGGTTTAGGGTTTAGGGTTTGGGGTTTAGGGTTTAGGGCTTGAGTTATTCTACGGGAGAACCGACACGAAGCTACTCGTTTCGCTTTTGGTGTCTTCCCCCTTATGCTAGCTGTTAACAGTCCTTCATAGGGATTGTGATAGGGGGTGCTGCAGTCCCTATTAAGGACTGTTCATATATGGGAGAACATCCCAGCACAACACCTTAAACATGACACCCTGAGCCCTTAAACCCTAAACTACTATAAATCCTAAACCCTAAACCCTACACGCCAACCTCAACCCTAAATCCTAGACCCCCTTATTAACTCTCCTGTAGAATTGAAAGGAGCCCAAGGACCTCACGGCCTGCTCAAGCAAAGGACGCCACATTCTGCGAGAACAAAGAATCCGCAGTGAAGGATATGGTGTTTTTCCAAGGACCCTGAAGCTTAAATCCTAGATGGTTTGGGGTTTATTTAGGGTTTAGGGTTTAGGGTTTAGGATTAAGGTTTATAAAGGCCTAGATTCCCAACAATGAAATGCCGCAAGAGGTTGGTGTGGAGAAGGGCATGGACGGTCCTTTGCCCGAAGGAACGACGAGCTGATCTATGACCTGGCCGGTTGGGGGGTTTAGGGTTTAGGGTTATATAAGGGTTTAGGGTTAAGGGTTTAGGGTTTGGGGTTTGGGTTTAGGGTTTGGGGTAGCGGGTTTGCTCCACAAACCCTGAATCCCTAAAACCGAAACCCTTAACCTAGGTTCTTGATGTGCAGAGAACCCTAAACCCCAAATCACAAACCCCAAAATCTCGGCCTTCATACTGTATAAAACCCTAAACCCTGAACCCTCAACTCTAAACCCTAAACCCTGGCTCCGGAGAGCTGGCCCGAAACAGCTCCAGACGCTTGGGGATAGCTGTCTGGCCGAGACAAAAGGGGTTCAGGGTTTAGGGTTTAGGAACCACAAAAACGCGCTTGCAATAGAACCTTTCTTTCAGATAAGCAGCTAGACCCAGGAGCAACCTAGGATTGACAAAGGGTGCCCTTCTTTGGCTTTAAAATGGCTTGCAAGGGAACCTAAAACCTAAAAATAGAACAAGGGGGTCCACTCTGTGTCCAAGGCAGAGATGCCGTCAAAGAGCAGGAACTGGGTCCTTGTTGGGGATATATTAAAAATTAAAATTGCCAATCCTTATTGGGTTTTTCTGAAAACAAAAATGGAAACTGAAAGTCAACAAGGACCCAGAGGAAGCCTCGAAGGTTTAAAAGGAAGCCTCGAAGGCTTCAGATAAACCCCCTGAAGCTTCAGACTTCAGCTTTCCAGTCCTAGAGCCTAGAGCCTAGACCCTAAACCGTAAACCCTAAACCCTACACCCTAAACCCGAAACCCTGAACCCTAAACCCTAAACCCTAAACCCTAAACCCTAAACCCGAAACCCTATACCCTAAACCCGAAACCCTAAACCAAACACGGGTGCTGCCGCCTTTGCCCGGCGCTTTACCCACCGCCAGGCCGAAACCCTAAACCCTAAACCCACACCAAAAAAGACAACGCGGCCTCCATGCCGGCCTTTACCACGGCGATCGGGGAGAAGCCCTGGCGGTTTGGGAGTGCAAGGGCTTAGGGTTTAGGGTTTAGGGCTAGGGTGTAGGGTTTAGGGTTCAGGGTTTAGGGTTCACATACATTGAAGGCATACCAAGTTCCTGATTTTTCGTAGCGCTAAGTTGGAAAGCTTGGGCATGCACCCTGGTGCCTTCTCGCATACTAATTCGTTCCTAGCACATAAACCCTAAGCCCTAGACCCTAGCCCAACTACCCGACTAAAGATCTCTCTCATCCTTCTGCATGGAAAGCTACAAGGACCTATGCGGCACTCTACCAACAAAAGATGATGATGTCGTTGTCAGCCCAGCAGCAACGATTCCAAGTTGAATGCTTACACTAGCTAGCAAAACCTAAAATCAAGATGGAAAATGTGCTTGCAATAACAACAAACCACAGTGACCTTAAACTCTCGATCTTGCACGAAGCCCTAAACCCTAAATCCTAAACATAAAAACTAAGCAGGCAGAACCTTGAAAGTATCAACCACGTATTACTACATATATACTTATATATATATATATATACCTCTAAGACCAGGCAAGACTATTTTCTGACTATTATCCAGATCCTAAAAAGATAGACTATTAGTCAGAACCAAATAGACTATTTTAATGAATATAGCCTATTTAAATAGACTAGAAAATAATCTACGTGAATAGTCTATGTTTCAAAACTAGCGCTAAACTAACGCTAGGCAAACGAAACTAACGCTAAACTGACAAAACTACCGCTAAACTGACGCTAAACTAACGGTCAACTTGCAAATAGCCTTGTCTTTCCTAGTCTGTTCACGCAAATAGACAGACTATATCTTATTTTCATAAACATACTATTTTTGAGCTTGTTTCCAGATAATAGTTTGAAAATCATCTCAAAGCAGGAAGAAGATTGTAGTCAGGAAATAGACTAACCTGGTCTTAGAGGTATATATTCTGTATTAGTACTAAGCATTTGAAGAGGAACAGAAAAGCTTAAAGCTAAATACACCCCTAAGGGTCCCGGGCTCATACATATATACTTTGTGTATATGTATGTATATGCTACCCCCCCCCCCCCCACCCCCCACGGATCTAGCCCTCTTTTATGCCTTTATGCCTCCCCAAACCCTACCTTGACTCTTTACCAGACCCAACCCACAAGACGATCCATAATATAACCTCAAATTATTTATGCTTCCCCTCGGCTTCCGGCAACGGGAATCCAACGTTAACGACTTCAAGCCTTCCTGACCCCAACCGACCAAGTTGAAGGTCCGACGGTGTAGGGTTCAGGGCTGGTAGGGCCTAAACTATGAACTTTGACGGAGCTGAAGTCTAGAATTTCAGCTTTTTTGGTGCGGCGCTTCCTCCGCTTCGGGTGTTGAGTTCAATGTGTCTGGGGGGCTTAAAATTAAGTGTCTAGACCCAGGAATGAAACGGGTGCCCTTTTTGGTTTAAAGGGGCTTATAAGTTATAAGGGAACCTAACCCCAAAAACCGGGGAACTAAGGGCCTGCTCTGGGTCCTTGGTGTAGGTCTTAGGGGAGTTTGGGGTGTAGGGTTTAGGGCTTATTAGGGTTTACCCAAAGGCTCCTGTGTAGTACTTTTTTGGGCTAGTAGACTGGAATCCCCTATACCTAGCCCAAAAAGGAACCACATTGTAGCCTTTGGGTAGGTTTAGGGTTTAGGGCTTCCAGCTACCATGAGCCTGCCCGTCGAGGTCAGGGCCGTTGTCCTGCACTGCGGTTCGAAAAATGGGTAGCTCTCCAATGGTCGATTTTCGGGTTTAGGGTTTAGGGTTTAGGGTTTAGGGTTTAGGGTTTAGGGTTTAGGGTTTAGGGTTTAGGGTTTAGGGTTTAGGGTTTAGGGTTTAGGGTTTTAAACGCAAGGGTCTGTATGATCATAGCATCCCCAAACCCTAAACATGGACCCCGCCTCTAGAGCCACGGAACCTCGGCTTCTTGCGGATTGAAAAGCATGCCGGAGAGTGCCCTCAAGACCACAGGGCTTAGGGCTCGGGCAGGTGTATCCTGATTCCCTAAGCTTACGTAGCTTGATACCGCAGCGCTCAACCTCCGGAGTAACTAAAAACAAAACCTTGACAACAACACAAAATGGAGTTGGGGGGCGGGGAGGCTAAATCCCAGAACCCTAAACCCTAAACCCTAGAACCATCCTTGTAGTTGAAGAAGATCTGGCAGCTCCGTGTGTCTGGCCCCCTGGGACCAAACACGCGGGGCTTTGGGGTTTAGGGTTTAGGGTCCAAAGTTCCCCCTTGTACTAACGGGGATTATAGTGGGGAGTTTAGGGTTTAGAGTTAGGGTCCAAAGGTTAAGCTTTAGGACTCAGGGTTTAGAAGTTTGGGGTTTTAAGCAAGTGCCGAAAAAAAACAGGCATATCAACCCTTCACCCAAGAGCTCACAAAAACCAAACCCTAAATGCCCAACACAGGAACCTAAGCCCCACACCCTCGGCATCAAGCATCAACCTACTTAAGCCAAGGTCCGGGGACCCCAAGCATGGCGGAAGAGCCTAACTGTACTGGTTTGATGGTTGACAGTTTATAGGGCTGAGGGATTGAATGCAGCTAACTTATCTCCGGTGTATGTATAGGGCATGATTGCATGATGCTGATTACGCAGAGATTATTGCGCAGGGATTTCATAGAGAGATTCAAAACAGCACCCCATAAACCCCATGTTGAAGCAATCCCCTCCCCCTGACATTAAACCCCCCGCCACACCCTAATACTGAATTCCCCCCCACACATTATAATATCACTACATTTTCACCCTAACATCACTATACACGACAATATCACTATCATATCACTCGAATATCACGTTCATGTCACTATACTATCACTATAATGGGAGTATCCCAAACTGAGGGGATTAAGCAGGGACGGCCTCATTGCAAAACTGACGGTGCCGCGCTTGTTGCTCTCCTCCAGGGGCCACGAGCCCATCGGACTGATAGGGGGGGTTGAATGGATTCAGGGGGCGTTTTGGAGGGGGTTTAGAATGAATCTTCCGGCACCCGGTGGGTCCTTGACGGGA